CTCCTTTGAAGTTAGCAATGATAATAGATGCGCAAAGAACCGAATTCCCTACATCTCATCAACGGCACGAATCCATCCGAACTTGATATCTCATCAACGGCACTTAACTATATATATTTGGCTAGCTCTTATAGATCCCATGACCTCTTTAGCTGTGTTGGGAGGGCGAGGGTGGTTGCGTTATCGCTGTTGGAGTTGTTACGGTGATTCATTCAGAAAACTGCCTCATATCTGGTCTCTTGATTAACCTCCTTATGTACGCCTTGTTGTTGCTACGCGCCTCTCGACTGCTAGTGAATGATGCGCTGTTCCATGAGATGTATGTCTCTGCATGTCTCACTACTTTACCAGTAGTATTTTCAATCAAAAGTAAGATAGTAATTACATGGAATTTCATAACTTGGCGATATTTAAGAGATAGTTTTTTACAATGTAGGTGCTTCTGTAAAGTCTCTCTTTTGCTGTTTCTCCTTCATCGTAATCAAACTCTCTCCTCTTGCTTACTCTCTCATGTTAGCATAATACATACTCGCCTTATTTTACAAGCCTATCTCTTAAAAAAAATGTGTTTTCTTCTCCATCTTCTGCTCACCTACCAATTTCTAGCAATAGGTCTAAGCGGCTCATTGCAGCGAAGACAACGTCAGCAATGCTCACCTCAATATGAACTAAGAATGAACTCGGTGTAAGCCAGGTATTGAGACCGTTCACGTGGTAAGCGTGGAATAAACTTTCAGGCTATGACTTTGTCACTTCTGGAGGTGTATTCTATGTCGTCACCCCAACAACAACAAACTGTGAAAACGTGATTCTGTGAGCTTTTCTTAGTTGTGTCCATTCAACATGTAAAATTTGCAATTTCTCTAATAAAAGATATTCCTGCGACTGGACATAGATACCAGGTACAAACATCAATAGGCATCATCATTTCATGATTTGACAATCTTATCCGAAGAGACATTGGTAGCATCACTAACACTAACACTTGCCACTTCCTGGTCATCTACTACGATGACATCGCGGCCCATCATCATATGCTCAACATTTACCTTGGGACCCGTGAACCACTTGTGCGCAGAGATGAACCACCAACAAATGATGATGAACATCGGGCCGCCGTAGCAAAGAGATGTCCAGTTCATAGTTTTAGCGCTGTTACGAATTTGTCAGTTTTTTGTTTATGAATGAAAAGAAAAACAATCGTAACAAAAAAGGAAGAAAAAACTTACGTCAATTGCGGGCCAGTGACACTGGGGAAGCAGAGAACCGGGATCATAAGAGCAACAAAAGAGCAGGCAACAGTACCGCAAGCGATAGAGTACTTGCCTAGGTTCCACGGACCAGGTCTGAAGCGGTCTCCGACGAAGAGAACGCGAATGGAAATGGGAACAGCAAAAGAACTGAAGGTCAAAGCATTAGCAAACAAAAGGATCATCCAGAAAAGATCTCGGGCGAAAAAAAACCCCATATAAACGCAGCAATACCTCCAATCGAAAACAACGCGCCAACAGCCAGATCGCCCCCGAAAATAAGGGTTAGAAGACAAATACCAATAAAAGCATTTCCCCAGACGGCATTGACGGGGGTTTTGGTATACGGGTTAACCGCCTTCCAGATGTCACTTCCAGGAAAGACATCATCACGCGGATACGCAAACGTGACTCTGCTCGCCGCAAGCATGCAACCCTGGCCCATAGTGAAACCCGCGATGACTGTCAGCGCGAGGATGCACAGGGCCATCTTCTGCGTCATGCACTGCATCAGACAGGCGGCGAATGGCTGGCCGAGCGGGGACGCAATTACAGCGGGGATATCGACGACGGTGTAAGCGACAACGAGCTGGAGGGCCCAGCCTAGAATGCCGCCGATAGTCGAAGTAGCGAGGATGGCGCGGGGCGCAGCAACGCTTGCGTTTGAGCATTCTTCCGAGAGGTGGATGGGCGCGCTGTAGCCGGACATGGTCCAGATGACGCCGATAAACGACATGAGCACGCAGATGCCCGGCGGGAACGAAGTACCCTGGTGGATGGTGCCCCAGACTTCGCTAGAGGGAGTGAAGCGCGAGAGGCCGCGCTCAGGGCGATCAGTGCCCGTGGGAATCATGATGAGGACGGGCGACAACGGCGAGGAAGTTGAAAGTCGAGCCTGCAGAGTTGAATTGGGCCAGCCACCGCGTTGGCATCGATGAGATGAGGCCGTGGATGATCATGATGCAGGATGCAAGCAGGAAAGTGTGGAGGTTGGTTGGTGATACTCGCCGCTGCGAGGATCATGGATGAAATTCCGTAGTTCACTGAGCGTTCACACAGTCAGCACAACTCATCCCTTTTTCTTTTTTTTTTCCCAAAGTTCGAAATATGTATGTTTACTGGCCAGAAGGAGCGCCCGTAATCTGCACCAGCCAGTTACTCCAGCACGTAACCCATGATGCAAACGGTGCCCATGCTGGAGGCGCCAGCACGGCAGCAGCATAGTACATTCCTCCGCTGGTATAGGCATACTGCTACACAGCTCCGCCATGCTCATAGCCACGCACTGAATGCCAATCATCGCTACTGGCCACCCCCAAGCCATGCCTGCGGTACCCGCATATCCCATGCTGAAAAATAGTGTCGACGCAAAACTCGGAAGCAGCCCTAGAATCGCAAAGCTCACCGCGCACGTGGCGAAGAGCGAAAACTCTCTCTTGAATTCAGACTTGTATCCTAACGCAGCCAGCGCTTCTTCGTCCGCATTAAAGGGCTGCTTCGCATTGTAGGGGTAGTCGCTGTCCGGTGGGCTTGCCGTCACGGGCTCCTCAGCCACAGGGCGGATCGTAAATGTGGTCATTGTTCTTGTTGCATTTGTATATTTGTGGAAGGGAAAAAAAACCCAGATCAATCAGAAAGGAAGCTTCCAATTGTGTCGGGTACCTCTCCCCAGATGAAAAAAAAGAAGTAAGGAGTTTAATGAGTAAAGACCTTGTCTCACAACGTTATTGCGTCTCCCTGTAATTCGGGGAGTAACGCCCTCCCAAAAAAAATGGTATATTAACATATATACATCTTCACCTACACTTTCAAGAGCGGAATTAGCATACCTGCATGTACTCTACGCGCTTCAACCCACCACAACACATTACGCACAGTTCCGGCGTCCCCCCTGCTCATGTTCCCAAACCAACGCCTTCTCTTCTACTTACTGTGTATAAATGCGCGCGATCCGTAGGACATGCCACACACAGACCCACACACCTGAAGCATACTCTACTTTAGTATTGTGATCGCTCAGCGATACCGGGGTGGTCGAACGCGTACCCCCGTTGAGAGTGACGAGGTCGGCGATAACAGAGCGACGCGGGCGTACGATTGGATGCAGAAGAACAGCGCCGCTTTCGCCTATCTCTTTATCAGTTACAGTGATGTGCGGGGGGGGAATTGTTCGGTCGCCGGGGTTCGTGTTTCAAGGGCTCACAGACGCTAAGCTGTGTACTACACAAACACTAAGGGTTTGTGTACCCAACGTAGAATACGCGGCCAAGTTGGTATGTCTAAACGCGTACTGTTGTAAACCGAGGTCTCCGGGGTATATCAGGTCCAACTTGGCAAAAAGGGTCGTTGCGACTCGGCGTGCTGGAGTGGATATGGGTGTGCTTCCATCGCATGGTGTTGTTTGAGGTGATGCCAGTTACTGCTTGGTGGTCGGACGGTTGTTGGGATAGAGGTGCCGGACGGGCCAACGCCGCGGACGGGCCAACGCCGGATTTTTCCCCAACAATACTATCACAAACTAATAATATCATTAATTAGATCTATCTACTAATATTTGACTAGCAGCTTAATAGGGCGGCCTGAACGCGAGCGTGGTAATAGTAGTGCAGCTAA